ACATTTCCATCAGCTCAGTTTTGTTGCACAGCCCTGGTCTAGGAGCTCAGGTAAAGAAGGGGTGAACAGAGGGCATACGAGCAGAATTGTACCTGGACCCAGGCCAGAGCTGGAACAAGAGCCAGCAGGCCAAGCCTGGGCTCTGGGGGGGCTTCTCATCCTGGATGTCTATCTGCATCACCATGCAAACCTGCCCCAGGGGTTCTGACTCCCGGGTCTGGGGACGGCATCTGTATACTGACCAAAACCTCCCAGGAGATGCCAGCAGGCTGCAGGTTACATTGCAGGATAGCCTCTTTCTAACTTGAGGAGGGCTCCCTGACCACCAGACCAGGTGGTCCCAATCCTGTGGCCTCCTCACATGCTCCCTCCTTTTTCCTCAGTTTTCCAGCAGCCTAGGGATAACCGTGCAGAATTCCCAGCACAGCAGCCCCCACTACCTGGGCTTAACTGCAACACCCAGACTTCATCCATTCCCAGTCAGACAGGATTTCTCATCTATTTTCTTAAGAGAAAGTTCAGTGTGGCTGTTCTCCTTAATTTCATCCGTGGTTGTGTGTCTCTCTGCAATCCACCTTTCATGACCTTGAGATATAATACCCTATGAGGCACTGGTGCAGGGTTATGATCTGTTTAAGGCCTGTCTCCTTGGGCGTGTGTATATGGACTGGTACAGGGTTATAATCTGTTTAAGGCCCTTCTCCTTGGGCGTGTATATATGGACTGGTATAGGGTTATAATCCATTAAAGGCCCTTCTCCTTGGGCGTGTGTATATACAAGGTCATCTCTGCAATGACTTGGCAATGCTGTTGCTGATGGTGACAGCAGGGGCCGGGCACTTACAATGCACCCGGTAGCTAAGATACGTCTCTGCCTGACTCTGTTTCTGTGGCTTTCCGTCTTCCTCAGCCTTTTCTCTTTGTGTTTCTTTGATTTCCTCCCTCACATTTTCTCCCTCCTTTGAATGACTATCTTATAGACCTAAAGTATTCTTCATTATTGTTATAATTACTGGTTTGAATTTAATGGCCATTGCCTGACTCTAAAAATTCAAAGCAAAGTTATGTCTCAGTTGTTACTCGTATGCACCCTATTATTGATCCCTTTGCCCCAAACCCTTGACTAAAAACTTCTGCCTCCCAATTTATACTGTAGGCTCCTTGAGAGCAAGGACTGCTTTGAAGGCATGATCAGGGCCTCGGGGAGCCTGCCCCTCTGGTGGCAAGGGTCATGATAGCAGTCACAGCAACGGTGTACCATTCCAAGAGGAAAGACAGACGGGGACACAGTGACTGCAAAGAGCATGAAATGAAGGTCACTGGTGGTTGCGCTGCGTGTTTCACCCAGAGCTTCAGAGCCAGCCGGCTCAGAGGGCAAGTCCTGCTCGCTGGAGCAGGTTGGCCAGAGTGCATTGTCCCCGACTCAGCAAAGGCTCTGGCACAGCCCAAGGGGCACGGAGGAAAGCAGCTTGGAGCCAGAAGACCAGGGCTCAACTCCTGCCTCTGCCCCCACCTCTTGTGTGCTATTCAGTGCTGCCTCGGTTTACTCCTGTGCACTCGATCAGGTCAAGCAACGGAGTGGTCATATTGCCCTGGCAATATGCTTATTCTGACTGTGATTTACATGTGGCAGGCACAACACTGACCCCTATGGGCAAGGAAACCCGCTTAGCACAGCTCAAGTTCCCCCAAGATCCCATGTGGTAAAGGAGCATCTGGTGTTGATGCACCACCTCCCACAGTGCTAGTTAGCGCCTGAAGAGCCACAGGTGGCCTGTTTGAAGGTCAAAACCTCAAGTCATCTTTGCAAAGGTTTGCTGGCATGCTAATGTCCCTAGAACCACGGACCTCACCAACCCACCAGCCCTCCCTGCACAGTACAAACCCTGTACCCAGGACCCCCTCCCCGCAAGGTGCAGACCCTGCACCCAGGATCCCTCCCTGGCGTCACCAGCACTGCTTCTTCTGTGGACCCTGGGAGGGTAAGAGGAAGGGAAGAGAAGAAATCAGAGGCCGTGGGTGGGAACAAAGAGCAGGTGCAGAGGGCCCAGCCACAGGAATGAGCAAACAGATCACTCGGGTCCCATCACCTCCTAGATCCACAGGTTGAACCCGGTAATAAAAAAAGCCTTGTGGTGGCGCCACCTGCTGGGCTGTGTGTTCATCACAACCAATTGGTGCCCATCAGGTCAGGTTGACCCATGTTTCCACCCTGCATACTGGGCCAGCCTAGACCTGAGACCTGCTGGGGGTGGCCCTTTAGGGCATTTTGTGATTGTCAGGCTATATTGTTTTCTAGTGTAAAACAATGGCTTGCCTGAAATAGGTTGTAGTCCTGGTACACCTAACTCACTCAAGAACACAGATCCCATCTTTGCTGTTGGGACCAAAGAGGGACTTTTCTTGGTTATGGCTTCTGTAGGCAGGGAGCATGTTTGTCCCATAGAAATGGACCCCAGCCACCTCCTTCAGACAAACATGTACACACACAAGCCACTGCAGCCATTTGAGCCACTGCAAAATGAAACAGATATTATTTCCCCCTTTTTAAAGACTGTGATGTACAGTGAGGAGCTTGGAGACATGAGAAAGAAGCCTAGGACGTACACAATAGCTCACCGAGGCTGTAGTAATACTCCGTGGGGGTAATAGGCTGTCAGCTCCTTAAGGGCCAGACCTCGTCTTACATCCTGTAAATTCAGTCACAAACCTGTGACCAAAGATCCTACCCAACGGCCATCTCCAACTTCAAGGAGCTCACCATCTGTGGGAGAGTCAGCAAACTGTAGGACAGCTGTGACAGAATATGGAAAGTCACAGGGAAGAAATGTTACAGTATGCTCTCTTGAATATGCATGACTTTTCCAGAGAAGGATCTTCCCCTGCGTTTTTAATAATTTCACTTGCCAGTTGACTACCAGCCTTGATCTCTGTACTGACAACTGCTCATCATTGTCAAGGATTTAGCAAAATCACAGACAGCTCCCTGAATGCCCAGCCCCGGGAGGACTGTGGTTGTTGTCAATCATCAAAACTAATAGGACGTGAGGGTCTGGCTGGTGCTTGCTGTGCCCTGGGGATGAAGGAATTGTGTGCGGTGGAGGCCACTTGCTACATGTGTTGGCATGGCCCTCCTCCAAGTTAGACCTTGTCTTCCACGATGTGCATGAGGATGACACTGGGCTCTTCTTCCTTCTTGCCCCACAATTTTATCCAGGAAGTTAGTAGGAGAAAACAGGCACTTCTGAAAACCCATCCTGCAGCCCACCCCAAATCATCGACCCCACAGCACATGCCCACTGTTTCTCTTCTGTACTAGTTGCTGGGCCAGGGCTGAGGATGTCACCGTTTACAGGCCATTCAGTGCCCTCAGTTGCTCTCATTCTAATGGGACACTAGGCAAAAAACAGATGTTTGCGACAGCACGCAGTAAGGAACAAGTTAGCCTGGAGGAAGCCCAGGACTCCTGCCCAGCAGAGGCACACAGAATCTTACTGAACTGATAAGGCGGGAGAGCTCATCTCCCTGGGGCCTAACCTGTGACTGCTGCATGAAAGGCAGGTCTAGTGGCCCACCATGCTGTCATCTATATTCATAAGGATGGGGGCAAGTTGCCACCCTGGGTACACAGCTTAGAGTTCCATATTTATTCTGCAAACCCATCTTCCTCCTAGATCAGCCTCAAGGTCCTGTGGGGAAGCTGAAGTTTCCTATATGACCCTGTCTGAACCAGAACTGGGGGGCATGCACCACCATCTCCAAAACCTTCTATCTCGGGGCTCCTGGGTCCTAGCCTGTGACCATGGGGATGCAGGACCATGGTCCGCAGCTCCCTCTGTGTCTTTTCTCACACTGGTTTCCCACACTTTGGGTAAGGCCACGGACTGCACTGTGCTCTCCCAGACCCCAGCCCTGCAGCTCTGTTCTGTCACCAGACATCCCGGCATGGGTCTGTACTATTTCTCTCCAGTGCCTTTGTAAAGCTCCCACTTCCGGTGCACTGTGCCGGCAAGATCAAGCGTCCACACCTCTGGAGAAATGAGTCCCGGGCCCAGGTGCTGCGGCACAGGTACAGCTGACCCGAGCCCAGCCCACCAGCCCAGGGCCCTGCCCACAGCCCTCCAGGTGCTCTCCTTTCATCTCCTGTTCTTAGCATCTGTGCTGGGAAAGTCCAAAGCTTCCAAGATGAGCATGTTTCTCCTGGGTGAGGAGGCCATGGGGCTGCTGGTGTGGGGTGGGCCAGTTAGAGACAGTTTCACACTCTGGTCATAGGTGCTTTCAGGGGCTTTGCAATGCCCCCCCCCACCTCAGTTTATCAATATAAAAAGAGCAAAATAAATAGGAGATAATTCTTTTATGAAATGACAGAGGAAAAATTGGTCTCTTTCTGCTTGACGAAATTCTCTCTATACATTTGTTACAATACAAAATACTTGATAGTAATATATAAATATATAAAATATATTTTAAAATATAATTTGTATGTTTCCTGCCTGCTACCTGAAATCTTATTTTAACCACTTCTTAGGTTGGAGTTTATTTTCCCTTTTGACTCGGGCACCAAATGGAGATACGTTGAAATAGTTGTAGTTCTGTGGACTGACCACTCATGGCTCACTCACCCACTGTACCATCTGCATCACACTATGGCTTTCTATGTATGTGGCTGAAACTCTCAGGGTGAGGTGCCTTTGAGGAGAAGCTGCTGCCCCTCTCATCAATCAGTCCCCAGAAGTACTGGCCAGGAGACTGGCCAGAGGAGGAGCAGATGGAATGGGCTCTGTGGGATTCCAGTACATCCCCGATGCTTCCTGGTAGCCTGGCTTGCTTAGAATGAAACAGACGAAACCATGTGCCCTGTCAAACAGCAGCACATTCTGACTTGCAGCTTTGAAGCCACCACATGAGGAAAGCCAGTCCCTCCAACATGCCTTCTACACGCTGTGCGGAGTTCCAGGCCCAGACCTTGTGCATTCAGCTCTATGCTCTTCTTTCCACAGCGGTCCAGGTCTGCGTTCTCACTCACCAGGGAAGATGCCCTGAAGAACTCATCCGTGGAGACTGCATCGAGGCTGCCGAAGGGCCGGGGCCAGCAGCCGAGGGAGGAGCTGGCGCTGCCTGGCTGGAAGCTCGCGGACAGGCTAGGTGAGACAAGTTACTGTCTTGAGCGGCGTCAGTTGTTCTGTGAGTTTCATAGGCGCTGTTCTGAGGCTGCTCGGCCCCTCCTCCCATCTTTCTGAGGTGGCCTGTGCCCATTTGAGGCAGCCTCTGGCCCCGCACACAGTACGTAAAGGCAGCCATGTCTTCCAGGGGGAGTTTTCCTCCCAGACCAGTCGGGTGATGGGGCTCCTGGGCAGGTGTGAAATCGCGTAGCTCCAAGTCAGCTGCAGGGCCACATGGACAAGGAGCTCATCCCAGCCGGGTCTCCTGGGCTCCCTGGCTGACTATCCAAGTAAATATGACTTAAAAGTTACATCTAGGAGACAGGTGACCTATTCAAGATTCCTTTGCCACCAGCACAGGTCTGTCTTTCCCGCACCGAGATACACATACTTAAGCTGGAAGCCAGGGTGTTTGTCCTCACAGGAAGAAACACTAGAAGGATTCTCAACTCACGTTAACATCAAATCTACAGCCCTCTCCTAAACAATACAATTAGAAAAATATTCATCTGAGCAATGTGCTTTTAAAGATCATGCTATTGTTCTATCATTTCTACTTTATGTAATAAGGGAAAAGATGTAAACTAACAGCCATATAAACAAATCCCACTGCATTACAGCACAAAGAATCGAAAAACTTTAAGTATCTTTTCACACTCATTCTAAGATTTTTCCAAAAGAGAGCAATTCCACATTAACCTTTTAGTACCTATCAGTAGAAATTGCAGAGATTCTGTGAGCACGTGAAATGTTCCTTATTTATGTATATGGTTTTTGTTTGTCTTCTAAGTGCATTTTTTTCTTTCCCCTGCTGCCCAGCATATCCATACTAATTCATTCACCCATATTCTTTCTTTCTTTCATTCTCTCTTATCGGGGTTGAAAATTCTGACAGAGGAGGGACTTTTAGATTCCACAGGTTATATGAGAATGTCATATAATAGGTCTTTAATAAACAATAACTGCATTTTAAAAATCACTTTACAAGGTGCACGGTCCGCCTGTGGCACTGTTGTGTTCGGTTAGTAAGCCTTGTCATCATCTTGTGTGGCAGATAGAAACCTTGAGTGACAGTGATTTGTCCAGGATCCCACAGCTAATGGGGTCCCCAAAACCACATATTACAGCTCCAGTCGTCAGGCTTTTCAACTGCCTGATAACAAGTGTCTCCTCACCATGAAAAAAAAATCAGCAATTAAAAATTCACACTTAGAAACCAATACATTTAGAGCATGTTATAAAAACTTCTAAAAGACATCCTATTTCACAAAATAGTCCCATGCCAAGTTATGAGCACTCCAAATAAATTTGTAAAGGATTTTGGTTTTCAAACATGACTTTGTACCTAACTTTTTATAAAATAAGGCACCTGTGTGTAATTTATCAGTTGTATATAAACGTAAATCTCAAGTCAACAGCATGACACGTAAGAAAGACTTCATGCTTTGCTAAAAACTCCATGCCTCTCTCAGGATGAAGATTTAAAATGAAAAATATAAAGCACTTGTGTAGAAAGCTGCTGGTTTTTCTGAGGACATGCTGAGATGTTCAGACCAACCCCAGAAGTCTTGACGGATGTCTGAAGTGCTTAGCAGGAAGCAGATTATTCCCAAGGGCATGGCTGTCTCAGCAGAGCAGGAATGGAGAACAGAGGAGAAGCAGAGGTGGAGGGAATCTAGAAGGCCAATGTCCTCAGGGCTATTTTCAGCAGTTCTGCTTATGTCTCAGGACAAGGGATAGTTCCTGAGCCTATAGGTCCATGGATGGGGTCGGCCCAGGCACACTGTGGGCTGAGTAAGCCACAGCAGGTCCGTTTTCAGGCTTGACCATATTTATGGCAGTTAATGGATTTCCCCTAAACACATTTGCACTTTATAGACCTTGCCTGGGCGTCTCTGTATGCACAGCATGTGCTCAGGGCTCTGGGATAAAGACCACGGATAGTCCCTACTCTTGGAGTTGCTCGCTGATGGTTGTCTGCACAATGTGAAAGGTGCAACTTTGGAAAGGAGGGAATGGAGAGTCCCAGAGGGATATTCCCAGGGACCAAGAAAGAGAATGTGACATTGCAGCCCAGGTACAGCTTTAAGCTGCTCTAATGACTTGGCCTGGTGCCCAGGATTCTCACAGGGTTGGTATTCAGGGACCATCTGTGCATTTCTGAGATAAATTTAGCCAACTTCTAGCTTCCCCAGAGGAACACAGCTACCGGGATTGTAAGCAGCAGAAGAGAGGAGCCGGCAGTGGGCTGAACCCACGTATCACGGGGTGGACGTTGGAGGCAAGTGCAGGACATGTTCAGCATGGTCAGCTCCGAGCTGGGGAGGGTGGCATCACTGAGGGCTTTCCCTCTTTGGCTTCTCCATAGCCTGGGAGAGGCTGCAGTTGGCCTTCAGGGTCTGAATGCATTAATGAGTCATTTTTATGAGTCCAGGATGGGTTCCAGAACTGGCCAGGGGCTGGGATTGAGCAGCGAAGAAGACATAGCCTGTAGTCAGGGTTGGGGGTTGGAGTAGACAGCCAAGAAAATAAACTGTAATATAGTTTAAGTGCTTAAAATGAAAGCTTTTTGGAGCTCAGAGAACAGAGTTACAAGTGCCTCAAAGAAGAAAAGCCAAGGGTGTGCCCCTGAGAGCAACATGGGGTCAGGTCTCTGAGGATGGTGCCGGCAGGCTTAGCAAGGCCCAGCGGATATACCTCTTGCCTTGGAGCAAACGCATGGCCTGGTGGGGCTGAGTCTGCATGGCGTGGCTGCCTCTGTCCAGACTCTAACATAAGAATTGGGGGACCTGTAGTTTATTTGGAGGTGAGCCCAGAAACACAGGGAAGGGGAGGCAGGCAGTATATGCCTTGTTACCAAGCAGGGCACCACTGCAGGTGACTGGGCTTATCCCCATTGGAGACTCCAAGAGCCAGCACAGCCCACTCACCTGCCCAACCCCTGCCCCTGTGCTGGCTGAGGGTGCCCTCAGGAGGCAGTATATCTCCACCTGCCATGGGCAGCAAGCCAGGGTAACCACCAGGAGCCTCAGCAAAGAATTGCAAGTGCAGGCTGTCAGAGCCCAGAGAGTGTATACCAAGGAGTGAGGCCTGCGCCACACGTGGGGCACTCCAGGGAATGCCACAATCACCACTGAGCAGCCATTTTTAGCTTCACCAAGAGACTGAGCATTTCTGGAGAATCCTGGATGGGCCTGCCATCCACACCACCTGTCTGATAGTCTTGAGATGCAGCATTGGGAAAATGCCAACGAAATAGACCTTTTTCCCTAGAAGACTACTGTTCCCACCACAAGTAGAGGCCATAACATGTACATGGTAAACACATCGAAGTTAGACTCCCTCCTACCATCAGTGAAAACACTCACTGTCAGAGTTCTGCGTGCTTTCCATGTACATATGTACGGAGGGCTGATCCATAGTCAAATGTGAAATAGTAATATTGTATTCCAACTCAACAGATACAAGGTAAAAACAGCTGAGGTCCTCAGGGATCCGTGCTTCGATGTGTGGGCTGGCAACAATACACCGACAGCAACAGCTGGTCTCAGGCCCCACCGGCAGGTCAGGAAGCGGCCCCGAGGTGCTCTCTGCCCAAGGCCAGTTAGGAGTCGCAGTAACTGGGCTCAGCCCTGGATCTGCCTTATCCCGAGTCCCCATTCTCTGCTGTGCACTAAAGCAGGCACATTTTCACGTGAGAGGAAAGTACTATTGAGAAGCCATCTGCTCCACACAGGCAGGGGTCAGAACTTTGGGAGCATCGCCGCACGGTCCTCACAGAAGCCCAGGGAGGCTTTGACTCTGCCCCCCACACGCATGCAAGAGCCAAGGCTGAGGCTGAGCGGGCTTCCCACCCAGGCCCTCTCCCACGGCCTCTGCTCTTCCCACTGCACAAGTGGCCCTGGAGCACAGCAGGCTCACCAGGCAACTCAGATCCTGACCCAGGGCCTTGTTCAGGGGAGGAGGGCTCAGCTGCGGGGTGTCCAGCCTGAGCTCTAGTTGGATTGTGGAATGAGCCAGGGAGGTGTGACTCCAGGGGACTCAGGGACGCAGGAGGCCCATCTGGGCAGGGAGGCAAGAAAACCCTCCAGGAAGAGGAGGCAGAGGAGATGAGGGTTCCTGGAGGTGGTGGAGCTGACCCTGCGGAGCAGCAGGAGAGAGGCGGGGCACGGGCCGTCAGGAGGACGGTGCTTAAACCAGCCCCGGGGCCCAGGGTCCTCCTGGGGGAGAGAGAGCCCCCTTCCACCCGCTGAAGAAAGGAAACTCGGTGTCCCACCAGCCTGGGCTGTCGTCAGACATTTGGGGGAAACTGGGTCACTGAGTGGAAGATATGTTCATCCAACATCTGAATTCCCCGAGGCTGTGGCTCTGAAAGAGGCCTGGCAAGTGTGGTGCCCGTGGACAGCCTCATGGACTCCTGAACACTTTGGTCTCATCACATGAGGTGGTGACCGTCTAATGGGTTGAAAACCCTGATTCACGGTCCTAGCGCTGCAGAGCTGTGCCCCCATAGACCTCAAGCCCAGAAGCTTGTGTCCACACACGTTAGGGAATGCCCCCCCATGACCCCCGCCAGAGCCCTGGGGCGCTCTTCACCCATCCCCAAGCAGACCTGAAAGGTTCCTAATAAAGGAAAATAGTTCTGTTGGCAACTGGTGTGCCTGAGGCCAGCACCCTGCCCCTGGGGCGCCAGGAACCCACAACTAAAAGGGAACCTTCCTCCCACTCCCAGGCACATGGGCAGAAAATATTTTCCTGTTTACCTTCAGCAAAAACAAGACAAAGCAAGTATTGCCCCTGACTCACAGATAAACCCTCATAGCTCAGCCACCAGTCATTGCAGATTCTCTGGGAAGAACTGAGCCCAGTTCAGGCCACTCCAGACCACGACTCCAGCCTGAGGCCCGCTCCAGCCTGCCCGCGTGCTCCAGCGCTGGCCTGGGCTCCTGCGGCAGTTCAACCACAAGCTGCCTTGGTGTCAGAGGTGCTGTGGCCTTTGACAAATTGCTGCTCACTTTTGTTCCCTCACCCATAAAATGAGATTAGAGGTGCTCATCTCTCTCTCTCCCTGTGATCATTCCAGAATGAGGCAGGTTCCTTGAGTTGAAGATAAACTTAAATGCCGAACTCACACAGAACACTCCTCTGGCCAGATGTGTGAGTTTTTCCCCTGCCGACCAACTCTCTGACACCAGGTGGGTGTCGTGCACCCAATCTGATTCAACAGTGCCTTTCTGGAAGGAGCACAGACCCCCACAGTCAAGGTCTCAGTCCTGCAGGAATTCAGATGCCAACTTCAGGTTCCAGGTGGTCATTTGTACTTTTGACTGACCAGCTATAAGTCAGAGTTCCCATGACCCCTCCTCAGGTTTGACCATCTGCTAGAAGAGCTCACAGAAGTCAGGGAAACACATTTACTGGTTTCTGACATGATAAAGGACACAGATGGACAGCCAGGTGAAGAGGTGCACAGGGCATGGCCCCATGGATTGTGGCGCACCACCCTCCCGGCACGTGGATGTGTTCACCAGCCAGAAGCTCTGAACCCCGTACTTTGGGAATTTATGGGGCATGATCAACCAACCTCTCTCCACTCTGCAGCATGGGGTGGGGCTGAGAGTTTCAGGTGGCTGATCACAGCTCTGTCTTTCTGGAGACAAGCCTCCATCCATGGGCCTGCCCAGAGTGGCTTCATTAGAACAAAAGATGCTCCTACCACCCAGGAAATTCCAAGAGATTTAGGTCTGAGTAGGAACTGGGGTCGAAGACCAAGTAGTAGCAGGAACTGGGGACAGAGATCGGCATGTGCACACATATGCATGCATATATAGCTTGTTTTCCACGTGCCAGCTCACAGCTCACTACTGTAGGGCCTGCAGTGTGCATAAGTGTGTGTATGTGTGTGCATGTGTGGATGTGAGTGAGATCTGTAAGGTGTCAAGAGTAGGTGTGCTCACCTGTGAGAGGATGTGCAAGTGACTGACTCATCTCCCATCCAACCAGAGGACAGAAGGGCAGAGAGCCAGAACCAGGGCTGCCAACAGCCCCCTCTTCTCCCCCTTCTGCACCCAAGGGGGCCCTGCGTGGGAGGAGGCAATCCTCAGGAGACCCAGGTGACCAGCCCCAAGGGAGCTCCCTCCATCTGAGAGACCCACCGGGTGTGCCCCCACATAGGGGATGTGTCCCCACCCCTGCCCCATGTGCCTCCTGGGACTTCATAGGTCAGCTGCCTAGACCCTTCGCGCAGTCCTGGAGGCTGATGGGTGGCGGCCTTGCCGGCTGTGAGGTGGTAACTGCCCCTCTCTGGTTTCTCCCTCCTTCCGCAGACTTGGCCCCAGTTTTGCAGAGCCCCGACGGGAACTGGCTGGCCCTGAGGGGTGGCGTTCTGCTGGCCACACCTAAAAGCAGCACATTTCAGGCCCTGGAGGCCGCCTCCAGCGCAGCTGCCTACGATGTGTTGGGCTCTGACAGCGAGGAGGATCTGGACTGGAGTGAGACCTCGACCATGCTGTGCCCACGGCCCCGAGGCCAGCCCAGGGACCCCCAGCCCCGGCTCAGGCAGGCCCAGGGCTCAGCCCAGGGCCCCTCAGCCTCCTCTGCCCCCTCTGGCCTTTCCCCCAGCCCCGAGGCCATGTTTTCTGACTCAGACACATCCTCAGCAGAGTCTTCCCGGGAAGCGGGGGGCCAGGCTGGACCATCCTGGTGGCAGAGGAAGGCCCCCAGGGACCTGGAAGCTGAGAAGATGCGCCTACAGGGAGAACTGGACGTGAACTTCAACCCGCAGCCTGCCAGCAAGGAGACCTCAGATAACAGAGACCGTGGCGAGGCGCCCCGTGCAGCAGACCGGCAGGCCAGGGCGGGGAGAAGGGCCCAAGTGGGTTCGGAGGAGCCAAGCAAGGAATTATATTCCCCCAACGCCCCTTCCCAGGAGCTGGAGACGCATCAGGTAATAAACCAGGTGGCTACAGGCACACGCATTGGGCAGGATGTGCCCTCCAAACGGCTGGCCTAGCAGGTCCTGGGTTAGCCACAGACCCAGATTCTCATCTGGGTTTGGCTGCTACATTCTGAGGGACCCAGCGGCCCGCATCCATGCCCTGGGCTCCATGTCTGACCCTCTGGAGATGGGATTATGAAGAGTGGGTTTCTATGTGTCCCCACCCCCCCCCCACTCTCCCACCCCATCCCCACCCCCAGCCAGCAGCAGCAGCAGCAGGAACTTGTTACAGATGCAGATTCTCAGGCCCCACCCAGACCTGCTGAGTCAGAAACTCTGGAGATGAGGCCTGGCCATCTCTGCTGGGCCGGGTGCACCCGGCAATTCTGCTGTGCCCAGATTCCAGGGCCACTGGCTCAGGGCTGGGGGTATGGCTCTAGAGTCAGCCTGCCTGGGCACCTGTCCCACTGTGCAGCCTTTGGAAGGCATCCCTCTAGGCCTCAGTTTCTTCATTGGTAAAATGGAGATAATATTACAGCTTCGAATAATGGATGTGATGAGAGAATAAGACAGTGTTTATGAAGGACTAAGCTCTGTCCTAGACATAAATGAGTGCTCAGTAAAATGTTATCTTAATATGATAATTCAGGGCATGGTTTACTGATACTCTGACTCCTTGGTCCATATCACACCCCCTCCTCAAAAATATGATTAAAGCTATGGACTCTCGCCTTAGGAAACTGCACCTGTTCACTCACACATGCATACTCATGCGCTCACACCATTTTGCTTACACTTTTCAGGTGGTTCCTAGGCCCCCAACCAGGTTAGTTTGAATACACCCGCCCACTCCCAGCTGTGCACCTGGGACCGCATGGTGCCCAATCCTGCCCTATTCCTGGCAAAGCGCATCACTGGCTTGAAGGACCAACTTTGTGGAGTGCACTGTGGCCCACCCATGGCAACATTCTCTGAACTGGAAAGCTTAAACAGTCTTCCATTAGTGCCACTGTGACATGATCAGGGTCTAGCAAAAGACTTAGTTCTGTGGCCTCTGCCTCCGCAGGTTTGTAGTCATGCTCACACTCCTGTCAACCTGACTTTCTGGCTCTGCAAAAACCACACCATCCCCAGTAATACTCAGCTACCTGCCCTGCACTCCAGGTTTAGGTTCTGCCAAAAGCAGGCCCCAGGCCAAGGATTGGTATAGTTTATGTCGGAGCAGGTCCCAGGAGGCCCCAGAGATGCGAAAGTGAATGGCCAATTAAAGTGGGCTATCGGCAACTGGCCCTTCCCACCTGGGACAGTCGGGAAGCCCTGAGGGGCACAGCGCAGGATTCTCCCAGGACCAGAGTGCTCATCCACAGCCTCCTACTGGTGGAGAGTGGCCCCACCCAGGAATGGCATTAACTCTAGCCAGGCATGTGTGAATGGTGCCTGAGCAATCCCTCCAGTGGAGCAGAGAGAGACCCAAGTCTGCAGAAGGAAACTGTCCGCAGTGGCTGTGGACAACTCCTGTGTGTCCAGGCCATACAGGCTGATGTTGCCAGCATCTGCAGTGACCTGGGAATGCATCAGCCAGACACTGACCCCTGGCCCTGGAGGATAGCTCTGACTCTGGCCACAGAACATGGCATCAGGCCTCTTTAACCTGCTAATATTGCCTAGAAAATGTCCGTTACATAGCTCAAGCTCTTGTTTTCTCCTCATTGAAACAAGACCAATACAAATCTGCCTCATGAGGTTGTTGTGATCACAGAGATAGAAGGTTCTGTCAAACTGTGACTCATTATCTAGCTCATGTGGAGTTTTTTGCAGCCACTTTTGGTGACTTGCCTCAAGGCATATTCTTGAGGGTTGTCTGCATGACTCACCTGCAGGCAAAAAAAGCTATGTCTCCACCAGAGCTAGGTGCCCGAATCTTCTTATTCATTTGAGGTGGTTTGAAAATTGTCTTCTGGTGTTACTCTTTGCAAGGCATCAATGAGGAGAAGGCAGGGCCAGCAGGAGAGCAGGGACCTTCCTGGCAGCGTCCTCTCTTTCCCGTAGGTGGCAGAAATGTGGTACTTCTGGAGATTTCAAAACCCTGGTCCCTGCATTTATATGCATGTTTTTTAAACTGTTTGCATATTTTGTAATTGTATAAATGAATGTAATATAAAAAATTTAGGACATACAGATGTAGCTCTCCCTTGACCACAGCCCTAAATCCTTTCATCACCTGAAATGACTGCAGTTGTATGTACATCACTAGGTATAGGACACTTAGAAATAGGCTCTTTAAGTGTCCATGTGTTAGAGGAATCAGCCTGTGCTCTGCACATCCATCAGCCTCTCCCCTTGACGGTGAGCCAGAGTTATCAGCACACATCCACATACAGCTCCTGCAGAAGACTGCGTCGCCGTGGCCCCCGCAGGAGCTTCTGTCAGGGTAACTGTAAGGGTGCGTTGCCCAAAGAGAATTTAAACAAGTCAGTCATCCCATTACATTCGGCACTGTGCACGGACAATTCCAAGCCATGTTGGTGACGCTGGGGTGGCTGCTCCCAACCCCAGTCCACCTGCTGTGTGGACAGGAGGACCCACAACAGTTCCTATAGTGCCGTGTTCAGGACTTTTTCAGTGCTGGGTGTTGTAAACAGCACCGCAGAGCATGTCACTGTGCAAACCTCTCTATATGAGTGCAAGGAGAGTTGTGGACTCAGCATATGTGGGTCTGAAATTCCATTGAGCACTTGCCAGGTTAGGCTCCAAGCCTCACAGCTCCAAGGCCACTGCTGCCAAACGTGCGTTCTGGTATCATCCACAGTACCCAGGGTTGTCCGTCTGTTAAGTTGTTGCCAATTTTATGGGAGAAAAAAAATACTTCTTTTTAGTCAACATTTTCCTACTACTGAGGTTGAGCATTTTACCTATGTTTAAATCTATCTACATTTTTTCCTCTGGTAAAGGCACATTTTACATGTTTCTTCTATTATTTTATTGGACTATTTGTCTTTTTCTTACTGATTTTTAGGAATTTATTTTCTAATTATATTGTAGGTATTAGATCTTTGATGGTTACACATTGAAAATATTCTCTTCTTGCCTATCACTTCTGCCTTAAGTATATTTTACATAGGAAAATTTTTGTTACTAATAATTTATCAGTTATTCCCATTGTTAATTTTGTGCCTTAAGAAGGCTTTAAACTCCCCCAAGGTTATAAGAATATTTTCCTAATTTTTGCTAATATTTTGCAGTTTTTAATTTTAAATTTAGCCCTTTTGTCCATCTGTACTTTATTTTTATGGATGATAAGCAATAATATCTAACCTTGTTTTCAAGTTAATCATTTGTCACTAAATCATTATTAAATGATTCATCCTTTATCTGCTGGCTTCAGGTGCTCCCCTTGATGTACATTAACCTTCTTTTATTTCCAAGAATCTGGATTCTTACTCTGTTTTGTTCCATTGACCTAGAAGTTCCATTCTTGTACAAATACAATTTCAATTATAAAATTTTATAACATATTTTGATATCTGATAGTCTTCCCTTCACTGTTGTTTCTGTTGATGATATTTCACAAAAATGTCTTGACTTTTCTCAATCCTCTACTCATATAAATGATTTTTACAATCTGCTCTTCAAGTGGCAAACTTTTTACATTTGATTGGATTGCTCCAAATGTGTTTCTCTATTTGGGAGTAATTTATGTCTTTATAATATTGAGCCTTCCCATCAACAGTATCATCTTGTCTCCATTTATTTACTTTCAGTAAAGTTTTACAGATTTTTTTCAAAGCTCTTAGGCCTTTCTGGTTAAAAAGCTTTTAAGTATGTCATATATTTTGTTGGTACTGTGAATGAGATCCCTTTTTTATCTATTATTTGTTCTAATGGGTTTTCAGTGGTTAAAAAGAACACTACTGATTTTATATTTTCTAACTTAGCACCTAGTAGGTTCTCTTATTAATCTTATTAATAATTAATTTTCAGATGGTTCTCTTAGCTGTTCCGGGTAGGTAATCATATTGTCTACAAGTTAGGACATTTTCCTATTTTCCTTTCCATTACTTATGCTCATTTCTCTTGCTTGTATTGCTGCACTGGCAACACCCTGTGGCTTGGCAGTGAGTGACACCTGGCACCCTGTCTTTGCCTTGCTTCTGTCCTTAGTCATTTGATTCCAGTGTTTTGCCATTAAATATGATGCCTTCTGTAAGTGTAGTAGACATTATCAAAACAAAGAAATATCTATCTATTCCTAGCCTCCAAAACAATTCAAATCAGAAATGTAAGCTTTATCTACTGCTTTCTGGTATCTGTTGAGAGGATCATAATATTTTTCTTCAGTTAATGTTGTACATTGCATTAATAGATTTCTTAATTCTGAAACATCTTTCTATTTGTTTTGTAAGTTTTATTGGATCATGATTCCTTTCTATAAAACTGGTTTCTATGTGCAGGCTTCCATTTTTATGCTATCTTGTTCAGTTTGGGTTTTGGGTCAAGGATTCTCTATTTTTGACTATTTTCTAGAATGTTTCTATGACCCGATAATTTTCTGAAAGTTTAGAAGAATTCACCTATAAAGCTATCCAAGTCTCCTCTACTAACAGTCATAGGTGAATTTTATATATGAAATATTATATATATTAGAATATATGGAACACACATCAGAAATAGAAAACAAGAAAGAAGAAGTTATTGATGTAAAAGCAAAATCCCTTGAGATTATTAAAATGAAAAGCTGGTTCATATACACATTTATATGTGAAAAATAAATTTTCCCTCAAATGCAGTTTTGTTTGCATCTCATAGGCTCTGAGAGGTAGTAAGCATTGTCAAACTTTTCTAATTATCATGTCCAATGCAAGGCTTATTTTAATGAAAATTATGAGATAATTAGAAGGATTTATAGGTTTATGCTTTGTTGCATTTTTGGTTTTGCTTGCTTGGCTAGTTTTTAGTATTATGGTAATAAATACGACTTATGTGATTTCGTTGCAGGGAATTTGTTGGGA